AGAAGATAGCATACTTCACAAGAGCAAAGATCAGTATACCAGCCCTTCCAGCTGATGATGTATAATTATACATTTTCATTGAAGTGTTTTTTCCACTTGTTCATCTTTTTTCAGATGAGCTTTGTAGTTCCAGTGATGTGCTTTCAAAGATCTTTTATTTTACATTCACTATTGATATGTTTATTTGTAAAATACAGTGAACTGAATTGTTGTAAGCTTAAGAAATGACAAAAACCCCCAACAAACAGAAAACCAAAGTAGATTAATTTTGGTATACTGATGCTGATTTTGTACAGTTTGTGTGTATCGCATCTGTGTTTTTATTTTGTAAAGATGGAACAAAGGCACAAAGGCAGTACTAAGCATGTATCCTGTTGAACTGCACTGCATTGAGAAAAATTATGTTCAACAGACAATTGTTTATCTTTTCACTATTTTCATGTGAGCAGACTGTGAAAATGGCTGTTCTGCCATGCAATACTTTTGTACAAGAGTGTAACTTTTATAATTTAAAGTTAACCACAAGCTCTTTTCCAAAACATCCAGGCTGCCTCACAATAGCTGCTGATTAGATTCATCATCCACGATGTCATTTTGTTTCTGAAAATAAATTTCTTCTAGTTTTGTTTTTTAATACTTTATAGGAAGACACGGAGTTCAGAATTTAGTTTTGTGAATGTACAGTACTTTAACCTGCACTAAAAGGTTTCTTGCATCTGCAGGAGAGTGAGAAAGGCAAGGCAGACAAGTAACCCTAAAAACTTACCTTGAGACTACCAAAAGGGGCAGCTGCTTTCTGAACAGGATGAATTGAATTCATAATACTACCATTGAGATTGGAATAGTATACCCACTGTGCTCTTAAAACAGAGAGTTTTTCTCTGTTAATTGTTTGTCCGAGGGGGCTGTCTGATTGCCAGCTAGGAATACATGAAGGAGTGTGCTAGGTTTACAGATCTGAAGATGCATCATGAAAGTATTTATACCAGAAAAAAAATCTCTGACATGCTAACTTAGATAACAGAAGTCCTATTGGTAAGGTAAACCCTTTTCTGAAAAAGCTTCTTACTAGAAGTCTGCATGAATTTTGGTACAATGAATAACAACTTTTAAAATACACAATTGACCCTGCATGCAGTTGGGGGTGCACATATTTAATGAATAGATGTGAACAGCTTGTTTCAAATATGGCTTACATGCTTCTTCCTAGCAGGCTGCTTCATCAGAAGGCAACTTGGATGCCTTCTATTAGAAGTTCAGAACATTGGATGTAGGTGTTCAAGCAGCCCTATCTTGGTAAAGCAGTTGGGTCATCTTCTGTGGATACTGTGTAAGTAGGTGGATATTGCAGAGAACAGAAATATTTCATTTTCTACTTAGTATGTTGCACTCAGATGTATTTCATTCACTGGCTACGGTTTTCTTCCTCAAGCAACAAGTCACATGCATGAACTTCATCTTTCAGAAATGTTGTAATTACTTGGTGAGCAAATGGAAACAATATAACCACAATATGGTAGCAGCTGTCTTAGATTCAAAGTGACAATTCTGTAATGACAGATCTGTGTAACACCCGAGGGTTTTCTTATGCACAGATACATCAGTTCATTGAAATACAAAGCCAAACATGCTATTTTGAGCAGGATGACTGATTGAACACCCTTTATGAATGCCCCATTTGTTTTTTGTGTCTTGGGTTTGAGATAACATTCATGTTTGAAAGGTCAATTAAAAAAAAAAATCTGGAATTATTTAATGTAGAGGTAAAATGAAGGTTGACAGTTTCAACTTCTCAATTTGATTATATAAGGTATATGTTTGTAGGATGATGTTTAAGGTCTACTTTATGATTTTTCTTTTATTTATTTACAGTCTTATTTATGTTCTGTTTAATATAGTTCAGTTCTGGCCATAAAAGTATTTGTCATTAAGGATGCTATTGTGAAAAATACTTAGAGGTGTTTAAATTCTTGCCCAGTTAGCTGGTTTTTCTCAAATGTTGAATAATTTTCAAAAGAAAGTATTACTGTCTGATTTGTAAGCATAAGGTGAAGTCAAAACTTGAGTATTGCTGGCTTCAGCTTACAAAACTCCTTTAAAAATGAGAGACAGACATATTCATGCTCTTCATTTTCCAGACTGGTAAAGTTGAACATATTTACTGGCAGCTTTTAACAATTCTGGGTTTGGAGTTTGGGGTTTTTTTACTAATTCAGTGTGTCACACTTGAAACACTCAATAGAATAAGCTAAAATATTACATACAAATAAACTCCCATCAGTGTAAAGTGATTAATATTACTCTTGAAATGAAATTTACTCTGCACAGCAGTGTATAGCGAATGTAATCAGTTGTATTGCCAGGTACCAATGTCAGTGCAGTTGAATATATCAAAAAGTAAATATTACTGGTACAAGAATATTTAGCCAAATGAGCAAAGTTTAGCAGAAATTGTAATAGAAAACAAATAATTTTAATATTTTTTTTCTTTTTACTATTGCTATGTTTATACTGTATTAAATATCAAATGCTCAGGACTGAACTAAATATTTAATCAGGTTATATTATGAATGTGTTTCTGTTCTAATTTTGTCTGCAAGAGTATGCAAGTACATTACATAGATTAACTTGTCTCTGCACTTTTCATGTGTTTCAGTGATTGGAAAATACATTTTTTAACAAAGTTCTTTTCCAGACCAGTGTTTTATTTAATTATTTTATTGCTCTTCTATCTCTCTATATGGTATTTGCAGAAACAGATGGCTGCTACAGCTTTGTCAATGTAAAATCATGGCAATTTATAGCAAGTTCACATCAGTCACTGACAGCTGTAAGGATAAGTCATATGGAAAGTAATTCATATACTTGAAGTTTGTTCTTTACATTCATGAAGTAAAAAATACACCTGCAATGAACATTGTTGAGTCTCCTCCAGACAACAGCTCATTATTGCCCAGAAATACTGGCTTTCCATAGAGAGAGAGATTGGGCAGGGATAGAGGTGGTCGTATTCTGTCTCTCTCACGATGGAGTATCTTGCATTACATATCTGAGAACATTTAGTTTACTGTAAATTATACAGGCCAACAAACTTCATTTAAGGTTGAACTGCATTAGGTTTTTGTAGTGCATGGTGAACTGGTGATACAAACTCTTTCAGACTTCAACTAACATTTTTTTTGTAAAAAATACATAAAGCAGCCCCAGTAGGAGTTCTGCCATTTAAAATATGCTCATGTCTTCATGCAGGCCTAGAGATTAAAAATTTTATACTCACTCCCCCAAGTCATACCACAAAAAACAAAATCTGCCATTGATCAGACTTGGGAGAAATACAGTGGTGGCTTAGATTGCCATAGCTCATCAATTAATGTAATTAAAAATGGAAGTAAGTAGTGATTAAAGGAACTACTTGGTAAGAAAGAATCCCAGCCCCGCTCTTGTAAACAGTAACCTGTCTGTTCAGCAGGTCTTTGTCTCTTACTGTAATGCAAGCAAGATGTCAGAAAACCTGATACCTGCCCTTTTTTAAGTCTTCCATTTCTAATTTCCATATGCTGATGGGCATCTTGTATATATGCCATTGGATACTGCTCTTGTAAGTGATGGTCAGGTGATAAACAGATTGTGGAGAGGAGTAGAGATTCCCCTAGAATTAGAATAAATCCACCAAACAGAGCACTGAACAGTGCATCCCCTAATTCCTATCTGGGCAGAATCTCTGGGATGCTGTCATTCCAAATCTCCTGGATTACAGTGTAAGCAAGGGACAGGGTCTCCAGACATCACCTGGAGTATTCTTCCAAGTAGTAAAAGCTTTTCTTATCTTCTGCACTCTATCCTCCATCTTTAGACAGTTCAAACTAGGACCAGAGATCACAAGGCTCAGGAGTCCTAATCCATTTTATGTAGCTACTAAAATAATGGAAATCTTGAATTCTAGGAAAGAATATAAATCTTTACACTATGTGTAAAGAACAAATGTGTTCCTACATCATTTGCCAGAGTCCCGTGCTTCAAAGCTCTGGTGCATTTCTGTCTAAGTTGAGATTTTTCCAGCCTGGTAAGTTGTTACAGGTATCAGTTAAAATCATTCCTAGCACAGACAACAGAAATCCACCTAACAGCTGTTAAGCAGCCTGTGTTTGCTTGCCAAGTTCATTTTTTGCAATCACAGAAGCACCAAACCATTGGCTTTTGCAGGCACTGTGCAGCTCAGTTCTTTGTCATACTCTGTCATACATAAGCACAAGTTAAAACAATGCTCTATGAAGCATGAAATACTTCTCCCCTCCCTCCTGCTTTGTGTTGCCTGGTTCCCTGTGCAGTGTTTAGGGGACTGGGATATGGAGTGGTAAAGCAGTGGCAGAATGGTGTGGCCACAGCTGGGCTGACTTGTCATTAGTTTTTGGTTTGTTTTTTTAAGAAAAGCATATACTTGGTTTTCCATCAATCAGTTAAAGCATTACAGCCATTTTGCTGATTTTGGCATCTCACATTTTGTTTTCAAGTTCTAATATCACATTGATGCACTTTCACTTAGAACAAATTATACTGTCTGCTTTGTGGACAGTTAAATGTCATATGTTTAATATCAAATATATAGCAACATGTTCCAGACATGACTGAATGGAACTTAAGGGACCTTGGATAGGATGCATAACGACTCAAGACCTGTGTCAGAGGAAGATAGGCTTTCAAAGCAGTATTTCTGGTTTTTAAAGCAGCATTTCTCAGCCTATTTTTGGTGCATAAAATATTCAGGTGCCAGAAACACTTAGAATAACTTGTATGGGCAGTTTAATGTGGCAGACTGGAAAAACACAGCTTGCTGGATCTAAGCACCCACACCATCACACCCCATGCACAAAAAGACAGTTGCAAAGCTTGCTACAATTTCAGAAACCTGCTATTTCCAAATACACAGAAAAAGGATTTGATGCAATGCAGGTATTCAGACTGTTTAGGATTGGAAATCTCCTCTAAGTTCATATGTCACTGCATCAGTCAAGTGGAAAACTGCAACAGGGAGTCAAACTTTGGGGCTTATTTCACTGGCTACATAAAAAAGGAAGCACATTTTGGTTAAAATCCAAGCTGTAAGACAACATGCATATTCATTTTTAGGATTTTACAGTGCAGCTAAGAAAGCAAAAGCACCTGTTCTTTGCAGTCTGTGATCACTTCAGCATTTTGCTGCGAAACAGTTTCAAGCAGTTCCACAGATGAGAAAACACACCATCTTCCAATACCAGTTTATGGTGAAAACAGACATAAATTTAGGAAATCGGCTGGATAACAAAGAGTCCTTTGGATTACTACTGGAACAAGCTTCTGGCTTGCACTAGGGTTTGGAAAAAATAGGGCAGTATTGCTGCACTGCTTAAAACCTCCCATTTTAAGGCCTTGTTTCAGTTTCCAAGCATTGACACTGATCCTGCTGTTCTGCTACTGCATAATGGACCGAAGACTGATGGACTTCAGTAGAACAGATTGTGCAATTAAGTAGGGATCCTCCTAGTATAAGACAAAATCCAGCAAGCCAGCCAACAAACAACGCTTCCCCAAAATCCCACCTGGGAACAATATCTGGTATATTCTCATCCCAAAATTCCTGGACTGTGGAATGGGCAACCCACGAAACTGGGACAATAGCTGTAATCCCCGATATCCAGAAGAGCATTCCTCCAAACAGCAACAACCGTTTCTTTTGTTCCTGTTGTCCTTCACCAATTTTCAAACAGTCCAACCCAAATCCTGAGAGCAAAAGGCCCAAAAGCCCTGATCCATTGGAAAAAAACATCAAAATCCTAGAAATCCTGAGCTCTGGAGGCAACGCTAGGAAAGAATCAAAGTCCTTGCATTGCATTCCGCCTTCTTCCTGGACAACACAAGCTTGCCAGAGTCCCATGGTCCAGATCTCCAGTTCATTTAGTTCCAAGTTAAGGTTTTTCCACTGGGGTAGGTAGGTGGTGAGACAGGACAGAACCCATCCCAACAGAGAGACCAATATGCCACTTAATTGCATCACTGGTTGATAGACTAAGGCCATTGTAAGAGCAGAGTCCTGAAAGCTTGAGGAGAAAGGTCTACCCAGCAGTTCTGTACCGACTGCTACCTTAAGTGATGGTGGAAGCTGTGATGATTTTAGGTCTCTGCTGCCCCAAATATAAGTCCTTGTTATTAACCCTTTGCAAGCTCTGAAACACTTTTTTGTTCTTCACGAATATAAAGTTTCACATAAAGGACGAAGGACTTCACTAAACCATGAGTTAGGCTTTCTGATAAGGATTTGATCTGTTACCTTCCAATTTGCTTGGTAAAATTATATCCCAATGCCTGATGATTACAAGCCTGAGGATGAACAAAGAGGGCTCTATGACCCCTCACCCTAAAACACAACAGAAATCTTTGTGCTTCAATACGGATTAATTAGATTTTAAGTGGTGATAAAAAGGCAGCTCTGTGTGCAACAGGACTTCATTGTAATAGCTAAATTTGAGATTTCAGGGATGTAAATCAAGGCCTTGTAAAGAAAGGTAGACTGTTTGCCCATAATCTTTATTCTTAGGCTTCCTCAACATACATAATGGCTTATCTTCCACTGCCCTGTTTTATGTACCCAGCACTGTAAAAGACACTTTGTAAAAGATCCTTATGTTTCACATTTTCTACATTCATTTCTTTTAAAATGGGCTTTGTTTTGACAGACTCTTAAGGGGAAAAGGAGACGGGCATGGTGAAAGTACCGTAGAAAATGAAATCCTAGACATCCTCTCCACCATAATGAACCTGGGCAGATCATAAGCCAGCGTAAACTTTACCTGCCCCAGGATTTCAGCAACACCATGGTAGCAACTTACACCAGCTCAGTGTCCCCTTTCCTAAAACCCATGTCCCAGATGGCATACAGAGTATTCACTCAGTATCTTACAACATTTGGCACTCAATGCTCCCGGGGCCAGGAATGCCTAGCACACCTTTCTGATCAAAGCAAGATACCATTATGCAATTACCCCATTAGGAAACCCTACTTTTCCTGCTCTCATGTCAGCTAACTTTGTGCTTGTCTACAGGGTCAGAAGGAGATCATTTGTTTGCTGTTTCCCTTCCCACATGTAACAACAGCACAGCCTGTCTGAGAAGGAGCTGAGCAGCATGAACACATCCGCATGAGTATGACCCAACGATGTTTTCCAGTCTTTCTTTATTTCATTTCCTAGATGTGATAAGTTATTTATCTGTGTATTTTAATTCTCAGTTGCTCAAAATGGGTTATGTGATGGGAAAACATAACACTGATTTTGAAGGTTTCCAAAATCCTGAATCATTATCGTGGGTATCATTAAGTGTATCATTATGACCTGCCACTGTGAGATGATCTCTTCTTCCTCATTTTTATACAGAGTTTAGAATTCAAACCCTTGGTTTTTCACAAGTTGTGAAGAACCAACAAAAAAACAAAAAACAAAACAAACAAACAAAAAAAAACCCCAGAAAAATCATCTATCTCTCTTTTTCTTTTGTACCAACCCATTAGTTCAACAGCTTATACTTGATCAAAAAATTGCTATGCACTGACAACACTGTGAATAAAGTGTTGCAAGCTAGCCTGTAACTTTGGCCATCCACGGGGCAAAAGAAAAATAAGACAGATCAATCCGGCATTCATTTATTCATTCTCCAGACTGTATTTTCATATTAGGCAGTGTTGTTTCTGTCCCCCTTTTCTGTTCAGAGCAGGAATGCTAGTTCTGGAAATCCTTGTGACTTTCAATGAGAACCTCCATAACACCCTTTGAATAATTTTTAAGATAAATAACCATGACTTAGGAGTGATTCCGCTTCTTCAGGGGCTACATGCTTATCTGACTTTAAAATCACAGCTACTGAAAGACTATTATGGGAGCCTGTTGCACTTCTCTTGACTCTGAACATTTAGTATTTTCTTCTCTGCTCTTAGTTCCAACAGTCCATATAGTCTGAGAGCACAGCATCCAGTCTGTGAAGCCCATCCATTTTGCAAATGCTGACTACAACAGGCACAATATACCAACCTTTAAATTATTTGTAAGATCTGCCAATTAAGTTCTGCAAGTTACTATTAACAATGCACTAAGTTAGAGCAGGAAAAGCTTCCTTAATGCTATTCTGGTTAAGATTATATGCAATTCTTGTTCTTTTGGAGGAGAGAAGGTAACACTCACCTTGGCACTAGGATAGTAAAAGGGTCTGAAATGCTTTTCCTTTGAACTTACAGATCTTACAAAAAACCACAGCTGAACTATGTACATTCTTAGGTCAGTTACTGCCTTAGTCTTATCTCCCTTGTCCTTCTTTCACACTTCCCCACTGTTCCTTCTTTTCTTTACATCTAAAAATGTCTCATTCTCAGAATAATTGTATTTGGTGGACTTGTTCCTACACAGAAGGTGATGCGTCAGAGTTACTATAAAGCCTAAAGCGATAGAATTGAGCTCCCATCAGTTTCTGTCCTACTGCTCAGAACAACTGGAAACATAAGCCCAGGATTTAAGTTACAATGCCATGACATCAAGCATCTGCCAGCATCTGCACGGCCTGAAACACATCATCTCAGGGGGTTTCAGTGGAGATGGCCACTGAAAGATGGCTCCCAGGCCAGCAGGGCAGGAAAGTGCCTGCCAGGAACTTCAGCAGCAGGAGTCCAAGGCACAAGAGAGCTGCTCCAGGACAGCTCTGCCCCTGCTCCCCTTGTCAGCCTCTGCAGCAAGCACTGTACTTGTGCAACACAGGCTTGTCAAGAAGAAAATGAAGAGCAGGTACAGCTATCAATGACCAGTGTGCTTTCAGGTAAGGAAGTGAGGATGGATTTAGAGGGAGTTTTGACTGGTTTCAAGCATTTATTCCCCATTCCTTTTTCTGTATAGAGTTTAAAGTCTGAGGTATGTAACATACAGGGATACCAGCCTACAGAGGCCTATGCAGGTAAAATAATTCCTGAAGAATACAGCACAAGTAATGATCGGGTTCATACAGCTTCAGCAATACTTTTCAAGTACCGGAGATCACATAATTCATTCAAACTAGCTTCGAGCATCATTTTGCAAATTGATTTTGACTAGACTAAAGCAGAATCAGAGTGGTCAGTGTGCATATCATTTATGTAGTTAAGTGCATTAAATTTTTACTCCTCATAAAACCATTTCAGGCTGAACACAAGGATTCTGAATCTCACTGCAAGTGATACATACTCTCTTTAAAAGCTACATTAATCCTTCTGGGAACCTCCATGGCCAGGGGTAGATACACTAATACTTTAGCCCCTGCAAAGAGTAGTAGAGAATTGTTGTCTTTACACAGTTCTGGAGCCCACACAATTACCCCAAAGTTTAATGGTCAGCATAAGTGAAAAGAAATACAAGGTTTACCACTTTGTAATCTGATTAGGCAATTTAAGCCCCCAAAAGTAGAATTATGAGACTTGCTCTTTCCTACACTTTCAGTTCCTTTGTAAAGCATGTTCATGTTGTGGGCTTGTTTATTCTTCTCTAGTGGTTCAAAAAGTGTGTTCATCTAAAGTATGATTGTCCCCAGCAGCATTGTCCAGACACTGCTGTTGTTTTGCTAATTTGAAGACAGTCCTGGAGTTCCCTGATTTTGTTGTTGTTGTTGCTTATTTAAATATCAAGTATTTTCTTGAATCATTCACAGGTGTCTCAATTTTAAGATTCCCACCTTATAGACATATATGCAAAAGATGGAAATAAGAGCTAGTGTATAGATTTTCTATGGCAGAATCTCAGTTACAGGCAGTAAAACAGCTGCTGTCAGAAGTTGGCAATGTAGTGTCTTCAGCATCTTAATAGGAATGATGTAATTCATTCAGCTTGGCAGTCTTTTGCTTTTCACCTTGAACTGGAAGTCCTGGGAGTTAACATTTCCTTACCCATCTAGGAATCCATTTTTTGTGAAGCTAGAGCATATTTTGGGTTTTTACAGCAAATGTGTTCTTCAGAAACCACAGAAACACCAAGCAAAGAACACAACCCATACTGCTATCCATATGGATTTACTGTAGTCTGCATTTAAGTGACATTTGACAAAAATTATTTGTATTGGTAGAGCTTAAGGTTTCAGGGTCCTTCAGAGAGTATCACAGTACAGAAGTCGACTTCTCCCTGAGTATATATCTGTGTGTCTCCAAATCTTGAGAGTCATAAATTTCACAAGAGAGTGACAGGAGGTACCTTTTGACCTCCTAATGATGTGGACTAATCTAAATTTTATTTATTTATTCCTAAAGTTAGTATGGTGGTTCTTCTGTTTGAGTTCCTCTGTTCCCTCATTGGAATTACAGTACCAAGTTAGACACAGCCTCACACAGAGCTGGAAGGGTAAATGCAGTAATGTGAGAAGTTCAGTGAATCAAAGCAACACAATGTCCAGTAGTACTCCCCACTCCAATGTATGAGTGGCTTCTTCTTGAAGCCTACTGCAATCCACAACAGCAACCTTTAATTATGGGCACTTAGAAGCCATTATGAGAGTACGTAAGAGGCAATATAGAGAGGGGTATGCCAGTTATGAAGATAACAACAATTTCTATCTTGAAAAGGGAAAAGAGTAACTTTAAACACACACAGTTAGCTCACGGTGTCATTACACTTCCACTAAAAACCAAACTCAATACTTAGAGGTGATGATTTATAAGATGACATTATTTGTTTCTGTATTACATCTGAAGACACTGCCACTCAGTGAATGCTAGGACACTGCTAGAGCAAAGTCATAAACCCAAACAACTGAATATTTTGTAGATATGTTAGAGCAGAATGGGACAGTCCAGCAGAGACAAAGAAAATTATCACAAAGGCCACAACACTTCTTCTGATCCACCCCCACCAGTGCAGGCAGCAAGGACACCCCAGCAGTACAGCCCCTGCAGATGGTTCCACACTGCCAGGGCCATCACAGAGACAGCTGGGCTGAGCACAGCAGGAGAAGGTGAGGACACAGCACCTTCAGGAGAGCCAGGAAGGGGCTGCAGAGCCCTCTCAAGTGGGAAAAGGGTACAACCATCACTGTCCTGGTTTCAAAAGAGCATATTCCCTGCTTTTCAGTATTGTAGGGACTTTCCAAGCCTGCATACCTTTCCTCTTCAAACACTGGTTGTAGTTCATTAAGCAACTTTAGCAAGAGCCAGTTACGCATGCAAAAGAAATGTGCTTCTGTGATTGAAAGGCCTTGCTAAC